GTAGAGAGCCAGTTTTTCCAGCACCATTTGTTAATGAGGCTATCTTTCTTCCAGTGAATATGTTTGGCCCCTTTGTCAAAGATACGGTGGCTGAGAGTGTTCGTAGGGGCTTCAGCGTCTTCAAATGTATTCCATTGATCCTCAGGTCTATTTTGTTGCCAGTACCATGCTAATTTTATCACAGTAGCCTTGTAGTATAATTTCAAGTCAGGAATTGTAATGCCTACTGTCTTTTCTTTGTTGCTCAGGATTGCCTTTGCTATTCTAGGTCTTTTCTTGTTCCACATAAATTTTAAGAATGATTTTTCCAGCTCTGTGAGGTATGTTGGTGGTAGTCTGATAGGGATTGTGTTAAATCTGTACAGCAATTTTCAGAGTATGTCCATCTTCACAGTGTTGGTTCTTCCTATCCAGGAGGAAGGAATATCTCCATTTTCTGAAATCTTCTATGATCTCTTTTTTCAGGGTACTGTAATTTTCCTTGAAAATATCTTTGACCTCTTTAGTTAGATTAATTCCAAGGTATTTCATTTTCCTCACTGCTATTATAAAAGGTATTGTTTCTATAATTTCCCTCTCAGTGTATTTGTTGTCTGTGTAGAGGAATTCTATTGACCTTTGGGTCTTGACTTTATAACCTGCTATGCTACTGAATTTCTGTACTAATTCTAGAAGCTTCTTGGCAGAGTTTTTGTGTCTTCCAAGTAAAGTATCATGTCATCTGCAAATAATGATAATTTAACTTTTTCTTTACCTATTCTTACTCCTTTTATTTCTTTCTCTTGTCTAAAGGCTGTAGCTAATAATTCCAGAACTATATTGAATAGGAGTGGAGATAGAGGACATCCTTGTCTTGTACCAGATCAAAGAGTAAAATATTTCCATTTTCCCCATTTAGGATTATGTTAACCTTTGGGTTTTCATAAATGGCTTTTAGCAGATTGAAGTAGAGGCCATCTATTGCAATTTTCTGTAGGACTTTGAACATGAATGAGTGTTGGACTTTGTTGAAAGCCTTTTCTGCATCAATGGAGATGATCATGTGGTTTTTAGTTTTCGCTCTATTGATGTAATGTATTACATTTATAGATTTCGAATATTGAACCATTCTTGCATCCCTGGGATGAATCCTACCTGGTCATGGTGTATGATGTTCTTGATGATTTGTTGTGTTCTGTTTGCTAGGATTTTACTGAGGATTTTTGCATCTATGTTCATGAGGGAGATTGGCCTGTAGTTCTCTTTCTTAGTTGTGTCTTTCCCTGATTTTGGTATTAGTAAAATACTTACCTCCAGGAGTGATTTTGGGAGGATTGCTCCCATGTTTGGTGCTTAGATATTTATGAGTGTTACCTCTTTTTCTTGAATTTTTCCCCTAACCAGTATATAGTGGCCTTCTTTATTTCACTTGATCATTCTTAGTTTGCAGTTGAGACTGTTTGAAAATAGGATTGCTACCCCTGCTTTTTTCAGAGGTGCTGGGCTTGTAATATTGTGTTCCATCCTTTGACTTTCAGCCTATGAATATCTTTATGAGTTAATTTTGTTTCCTGTATACAGCATATTGTTGGATTTTGTTTCCTAATGCACTGTGCCAGTCTATTTCTCTTAATTAGTGAATTGAGTCCATTTACATTGATGGTTAGAATTGAGATGTATTGACTTATGATTGACATGTTATTTACCTGTTGTTGTTTACTCCTTTTTCTCCTGTGTTTAATTGCTTGCCCTATTTATTTGGTTGTTTGCGATCTTATTCATGGAGTTCTGATCATTTTCATCCCTCTCCCGAACATCTTTCAGTAGCCTGTGTAGGGTTGGCCTTGTCATCATGAAATTCTTTAGTTTTTCTTTGTCATGGAGGTATTTCACTTCTCCATCAAACTTAAAAGAGAGTTTTGCAAGGTATTGTAGTCTGACCTGGAATTTGTTTCCGTGGAGGACTTGAAGTAATGTGCTCCATGTTCTTCTTGCCTTCATCATTTGTGAAGAGAAGTTGGCCGTAGTTCTGATGGGTTTTCCTTTGACTGTGATCTGCTTCTTTTCTCTAGCGGCTTTCAGTATATTATTCTTGAGCTGAGTTTCTGGGATCTTGACTATTATATGTCTCAGTGTGTTCTTAATTGGGTTGAGGTTACTTGGCGTTTTGTATGCTTCAGTTACCTGAATGTCAGATTGTTTTCTTATATTTGGGAATTTTTCTCCTATTACTTCTGCCCATATGTTTTTAATGTCATTTGTATTGACTCCTTTCTCAGTGATGCCTATTAGTTTCACATTGTTCATCTTTGCATCATCTTGTAGGTGATGGATTATTTTTTCCTACATTCTAGTTGTTTTTAAGAGATCTTTTCTTACCTTTTCACTAGCTGCACCAGCATCTTCAAGATTTTAAACTGTCTTCACTTTTATTTAAATGGTTTTGCAAGCTTGTGATTGAGATTTTAAATTTCTCTATATCTCTTTGACTCTGCTTCATGCGATGTATTTCTTTCCTGTATTGCTCATTCAAGGAATCCGTCATTTTCTTAATCACCTGTTTGTTTTTTTATCAATGTCTTCTTTAGAAGCAGTTATTAATTCTTTTAGTGCAGTGTTTTTTCCAGATTGGGTTTCCTCCCTGTGCTTCTGTAGTTGATTCTTTACTTGAGATGCTATGAGTTCTGAGCATTCTTTTCGTATTTTTATAGAAAATTCTGCCCTCAGTTCCTCTATGACTTTTTGCTGTTGCTTATTTACTTTCGATGCTATTAATTCATATGTTTGATCTGAGGTAGTAGAAAAGAATTCCGCTCATACATTTGAGCTGAGCTAGTGTCCTCTGTGCTTGTTCTGGCTGGGCATTGGATTTCCTGCATATGTTTCTGCATTTGATTCTTTACTGCAGATATTATTAATTCAGGGATTTCTTTTTTCATTTCCAATCTGAGTTCTCTATACCCTTCTGCAGCTGTTTCTTTATTTCAGAAGCTGTTCATTCATTGATTTCAGCTGTGTGATTCCCAATTTGTTCTGTTTTAGTGTCTTCTGCACTTGTTATGGGTGGTCTTGTGTTCTGAGGTTGCGTTTTGCTCGTTCTCATTGGCATTTTGTGTAGCACTGTCTTTTTACCTTTGTTGTAGAGCTTTAGTGCAGTTATAGCCTTAACACCTACTGAAGTTCAGGTGTAGATCTACAAAGTTTGGATTTATCCAGCTGTGCCTGGCTTGGGTCTAGCTGCTGTGCTCAGCTCCTTCCTGCTGCTGCCCTTGGGAGTGAATCTTTTGTGCCCCTCTGGCAAGATGTTCTGCTCCTGGACTAGCTGGGTGGTTCTGTCCCCTACTCTCTCTGCAAGGATTGCAGCTGTAGCGTTTTACCTCAGGCCTGTATTCCAGGCCTGAGGTGAGTCTGGAGGGAACAAGGTGGAGTAGCCAGGAGAGGCAGCTCTCCCACACACTCACCAGGTCTGGGCTATGACTGGATCTGCAAGTCCCCAGAATGGGGCAGAAATCTCACTGGTTGGACAAGGTGGGGGTGTACTGCGGAATGTTGGGGGGGGAGTCCCCAAGGGGGTGGAAGTGGGTCTCAACCTCGCTGTGCCTGTTCTGGGACCAGCAGGTCCAGCTGGCATAGGGTAGTTGGAAGCTCTCCCACACACTCACATGGCCTTTGGTAAGACTGGATCTGGGGGTTCCTGTAACAGGGCAGAAATTCCTACTCGGTGGGCAGGTTGAGGGGTTGCTGTGAAGTAGTGGGGGATGTCCCAAAGAGGTGGAAGAGGGTTTCACCCATAGTGCACCTTGGCTGGGACTGTCAGGTCCCCCTGGTGCAGGTTATGTGGAAGCTTTCCCACACACTCACCAGGTCTGGGCTAGGACTTGATCTGGGGTTCCCTAGAATGCAACAGAAATTCCCATGAGGTGGGCGGGGTGGGTGGGGGTGCTGCTGAATGGTGGTGGTTGGCCCAAGAGGGTAGAAGAGGGTTTCACCCATGGTGCGCCTAGGCTGGGATTGGCACGCAGCTCTCCCACACACTCACCAGGCCTGGGCTAGGACTGGATCTCCAGGCAGCACTTTGAGGAATGCTCACCAGTAGGAATGGCACTAAAAAAGACCAGGCAACCAGGAAGATGGATGTAGTGTCACTAGCCAAGAAAACAGAAACTTCCAGGAAGAAACAGATGTTCAGTTTTATAAAGTCTGTGAAGGATGGGTGATTGGACTTTTATAATATATTTATAATCCTTTGTGACTTAGTTTCTATAGTTGGGACTGATAAAAGTGCAAGTCAACCTTCAAATATTTATTGAGCATCTGCTTTGTGTCATGCACTGTTCTCCAGGCATATGGCAGGGAACAGAAATGAGTACTATACCTGCATCAGGGAGTTTCCAGTGGAGTGGGGACACTTGACTAACACATGATATTTTAGTCTTTTCTTTAGGGCTTGTTAGTACAGAAAAGCTTTTATAGCTAGGAATTCTAACATTTAAGTAGCTTGGCGCCCCCTTACCTGAGTATATAGTCATGGTCATAACATCCTCCCAAGCAGGGGAAAGGAGAGGAAGGGAGAGCAACATCAAGTGATAGATGACTCATTTGAGAATCTTGTTATGAAAGAGATATTTGGATTCTTTTGAAGTTTCAGAGTTATTGAACTGAAAGGATAAAATTTTTATTTCACTACTATGTAAGTTCTCATGGAAAGTGAGTTTTACTTGAAAAACCAACTATGTAGTAGATGATTCATAGTAATGTAACAACCACAAGAATTTCAACAAGTTAGAAAAAAATATGTTAAGAAACAGCTTAAGTGTATTTGCATTTCAAATAGTACCTAATTATTTTTGATCCACTGTATGAAGATCCTGTTATTCCAAGTGCTCAGGCCAGGGATATAGCTCAGCGGCATAAGTGCTTGACTGGCAAGAGCCCGGTCCTGCGTTCAATTCCTAGTACTAAAAACACAAAAAATTAAAAAAAGTGTTCTTATGCTTAATTACTTTTCTTTCTTTTTTTAGGTTACTTTTATTCAAAACCTTGTATTTTGTGTAGAAAGAGTTTACCGTGTACCTGACTTTGGTATCTGGGAAAGAGGAAGCAAATACAATAATGGCAGCACGGAGCTACATTCCAGGTAATATGCCAATTTCTTGGGGCATTTTTGGTTGTTCCTGTTGTTTAAATACATAGAGTTTTAATTTGAATAAAACCCAAGTTGTAGACTGAAAGTATGTCTTTCATTTGTTAATTTTCAATACATTATTTTCTATACATGAGGCAAATGAAATTCACCTAAAGGGCCAGACAGATAGCTCAGCAGATTAAAGCGCCTGCTTAGGCAGAAGCAGGAACAGGAGTTAGATACCCAGCATTCCATACCAGTCCCACCCCCAGGGCACACTGAGACTGTGATTGAGTCTAGGCATGGTGGTGCATGCTTGTAATCCCAGTGCTTGGGAGGCTGAAAACAAGAGGATCACTATGAGTCCGATTTGTTTAGTGAGACCCTGTAGACCCTATACTAAATACATTAAAAAAAAAAAAATCACCTAAAATTAAAGACTAGAAGTTCACTCTTAGCACTCAAAGAGATGTAGAAAAGGAGCAAGATATCTTTCCCAACCTCTCTAGTGATCAGTACATGCATTTAGCCTTCACTATTAATCTGCAGCTTGGCCTTCATGCATTAGAATTCCTGGCTGTAGTTGTATATACATGGCATGTAAATTAAAATTTCCTTCCATGTTGCAGAGCTGATTTTTACCCTAACCAGATTTTATGCCTTTTAGTGAAGTTAACTAACATTCAGTTCTCTCTCTCTCTCTCTCTCTCTCTCTCTCTCTCTCTCTCTCTCTCCCTTTCTCTCTCTTTCTCTCTCCTCTCTCTCTCTTTTTATATACTTAGTACAGAGTCTACAGGGTCTCACTACACTGATCGGACTCTTAGTGATTCTCCTGTTTTCAGCCTCCCAAACTGGGCAAGACTGGGCACCTGCCACCACGCCTAGTCTCAATCACCTGTTTCAGCGAGCCCCAGGGACAGGACCGGCACCTCAAGCCAGGGATTGAACCTGGCCACTGCACTCTGCCTCAGCAGGTGCTTTAGTCTGCTGGCTGTTTGGGTGGCGCATTCAATTCTTTCTGTAAGAGTTGTGATCAGTATCTTCAACTACATTTAATGTTTTAATAAACAACAGTAGCTGATGAATGATATTACTAGATTATGAATTTTCTTTACTCTTTATGGTTAAGGAAATAATTTTGATAACTAAGCCTTTCTTTATATCCTTATTTTATGCCAAGGGGGTTATGTTTTAACTAATTAAGTTCAATAAGCCCTGTCCATTATTCACTAAAAGATGTTGAAATGAAGAAATGTACATTCAACAGAGGTCATTTAAAGGAGAAGTCAGTTTGAAATATTAAGATTTAAAAGAAGTAGAGAAACAGTCATAAACACAAGTTAGCAGCAATCTGCGGCTTTATTTTTTTGGACATAACAAATTAAGCTAAAATAATATACTTAATAAGCTAAAAGCTAACTTCAGATCTGTGCATGTAGCTCTGAGTAGGTAGCCTCTTTAAAATGAAGGTAACCTTTACTTTACAGAGTTACCTTAATTGAATTATTTTTTATGTATTTTGAATGGCTGATATTAGTAAGGACTATGATATTAGTATATTCATACACTTAAGAATATTTTAATAACAATAATTAAGACTGCTGTGTTGCCTCCACTAGGGGTGCACTAAAAAGGCAATTGAGACTGGGCGTGGCATGCACATGTAATCCCAGCTCTTGGGAGGCTGTAAACAGGCAGATCACTATGAGTCTGATCTAGTAGCGAGACCCTGAACACCCTGTAGACTCTTCCCTAAAATACAAAAACAACAACAACAACAAAAAAGGATTAAAATAAAAGGAACTGACAGATGTCCTAATAAACTAATTTACAAACCTTTTCTCAAAAGTTTTGTAATCCATGTGAGGCATTTTTTTATATAGAGCAGAATGGTAGAAATCAGTGAAGAGTTTGGAAAATTTTGTAAGAATGCTCGGTTCAGAAATTAAATTTGAAATACTAAAACTAGTGAGATAGTTATATTCCAGCCATCTTCCAAATTCAGTTCTCGATATTCCAGATTATCAGTTAGATTACAAGAAAGTGATCTGATTAGGTTATTTTAAAATTTTACATTTGCAATGTTTATAATGATCACATTCTTGCTTCTTTTTTCTTCTTATTTATTTATTATTAATTTTATTGAGAAACCAATAACAATGAGAAAGTTTCAAAACCGATTAATGGGACAGTTTCAATAATTAATATATTGCATATTGTTGTCTTTGTAGTGGTTATTCATAGTACAAGATGCAGACATGATAGCCTGTCCAAACACTGTTAGTACAAATCTTTCTTCTCATTGAATCAAGAGAAAGTAGCTCTATATCTATCCTAACTATTTTGTATATACAGATACAAAATGGTCCTTCATTTGTATCTCCTTTTCTGTTTAGTGTTGTCAGAGATGGGTGTTCCATTGCCATTTAAATATTGTAGGTGAGTGAATTCAGCAAAATTGGATTATTTTACATTTTTCTTCTTAATAAGCATATACTATCATGCCAATCTGCTTCCACTTCTGTTACTTGCAGTATAAAGTATGCTGAAAAGTAGGCATTTTTCTGTATATGAAAAAGGCAGCTGTGTTGGTGCTCATCTGTAATCCTAACACTTTGAGAGGCTGAGGCAGGAAAATTGCAAGTTCAAACCCATCCTGACACCGTGATGTTCTTTGCTATCTTTTGCATGTAAAATTAATCTTAATTGTAGTAGGCCAGCTTTATTCCAATGGATGGGAAATGAAGTTTGGCATTTAGATTTTGATATGTTTTAAACGAGGTATGATCAAAAGACAATGAATGTTTAAATTTTATAAAATTGATTACATTAAAAGACATATGGCCATAAATGTCCCTCAAAACATTATTTTGATACAAACACACTTATGCTATTGTTCGTAGTTTCAGAGCCATTCTGGAAATTCCCTTTTCTGTGTGTCTTTAGTTGGTACCTCAGCCTCCTGATTCAATTTTAAGCATTTACTTTTTATGGTCATTTAGTTACCATTTGTGATGAAAGACAGATATCAGAAGGTTCCAGTGAAAAAGGTGCCTGAGGGCATCATCACAATGTTTTTACAAACTTGCCTTTCTTTTGGATGATGCACAGAAGTAAAATTCACCATATTTTTAATCATATTTTGAAAGATAGGAAAGAGAACTTCCAAAAATGCTTTAGAAAACAGCAAAAGACCCAGGTGTGGCACACAGCTGTAACTCCAGCACGTTGGCAGCTGGGGCAGAAGGAGCACCACAAGTTAGAGGCCAGCCTGGGCTACATAATGAGTTCAAGACCAGCCTACAGTACATGGCAAGACGCTATGTAAAGAAAAAAAAAAAAGTGGGAAGAATGATGAGATAAATGCATTCAATGCAAGGGGGTATATTTTGAGGGGGCTTAATAGCAGTGTGTCTTTTATTGCAATAAGGGTGGGAAAGTAGGATGTAGCAAGCATGGGTACCACATGTTCCTTCCTAATGCATTGATGTTACATAAATAGACCTTTTTAAAAAAAATTAAAAAGACTGATGCTGAGCTGTAAAAGGCTCAAGTCAACAATTTCTGACATTGCCAGTCCTACGGATAACCCACTACTATTATGGACTACTGGACTATATTGGATTGTTTTGCTGAATTCATGCACCTACAATATTTAAATGACAATGGAATACCCATCTCTGACACAACTAAACAAAAAAGGGGGATACAAATGAATGACCATTTCATGTCTGTATATTCAAAATAGTTAGGATAGATATACAGCTACTTTCTTTTAATTCAATGAATAGAAAGATTTGTACTAATAGTGTTTGTGGACAGGATATCATGTCTGCATCTTGTACTATGAATAACCACTAAGACAACAATATGCATTGTATTAATTATTGAAACTGCCCTACTAATCAGTTTTGAAACTGTCTCATTGCTATTTGTTTCTCAATAAAATTATTTTTAAAAAGTAAAAAAATAAAATAAAATTTAAACTTTCCCCGATATTTTGATCATACTTTGTATCTTTAACATAGAACTTCTAGTTGATCATGTTGTAAAACTTTACAATTGCCAACACACACACACACACACACACACACACACATGCACGCACACAAAGAAACTTAAAACTTTTTCTCAGATTTTTTTGAATGCATACATATCCATCCTGTCTTGGATATGTCGTTTCCAGAGCCAACAGAACATTGCTATGCTTTATGTCCAGATGTCCCCCAAAGGCTCCTACACTCATAGGCCGGGCTTTTGGAAGGGGATTAGATTGTGGGGCCTTAGTGCTTTCTTGCTGATAGGAGTTGAGGTATGGTCAGAAGAGGTGGTCACTAGGTGTGCCCTAGAAGGGTGCCCCTCTGCCATGTTCTCCTGCTTTGGCAACACTTGACTCTAGATGTGAGCCAAGATAAACCTCCTCTTTTAAGTTGTAAGTGTTTGGGGATTCTGTCCCAGCAGTGAGAAAGTAAAACACAAGTACACACACACACACATTTTTAAGTTTTTATTTGTAGTAGTTCATATGTGCAGTACATATATCATAGTAATTATATTCATCATAGGGAGTTGTTACATGTACATATCTTCATTCTTTTTACTTATCCCTCCCCTTTCCTCTTCTCACTTCCCACTATCTTTTTTTTTTTTTTTTTTTTTTTCAGAACTAGAGATTGAACTGAGGCCCTTGTGCTTGCCAGGGAAGCACTTATTCCACTGAGCCATCTTCCTGGCCCTTCCACTATCCCTTAATCCCCTTCCCACTTGCAAAAGATCTATTTTCTTGTTACTTTTTATTTGACTCTTTAATTTACTTACATTTTGGGCTTCTCATATAAGAGCAGTCATGTTGTATTTGCTTGTGTGTGTCATTTTCCTGTGAATGTCTTGGATTTATCTTTCTTTGACAGAGAAGTACTACTTCATATACAAACACCACATTTTCTTTCTCCACTTACCTGTTGATGGACATATAGCCTGATTCCAAGATTTAGCTATGATGAACTGTGCTA